AATTAGTTTTTCTGTGTACCTATAAATGACTGAGATGTTGTGATGCTGCAGGTACTAGAAATGGTTTTAGATAAATACTGTATAGAAAAAGAAAATACTTCTTTGGATGTATCTAACATGTGTCTGACACAAACTTCTTAAGACTCTTCATTGCGTATGGACAGTTTTCTAGTGTCCTGTTTGGATTTTGCGATATTCTTAACCCCATAAGAATTTGATACCTTTCATATGCATGTTTGACGCTTGCTGGATATTGCTTTGATATGCATTGCAAATTTGCACTTACTGTGATTATATTTTTCTTTGTTTCTTCATGACAACTACCCTTATAATAGATATATTAGATCCGTAGCTTATTTTGAAGCAAAATTAAACTTACCATACATTTCAGGCGAAAGAATAAGTGCCTTCATGGAAAGGTTAAAAGTACTAAAAAAGGCTATTGTTTTCATCACTGGTAGTATTTATAAAATATGATATAGTGACAAAATATCACGAAGAACTATATCTATGTATTAAAAACATAAGCCTAAATAATTTTGTTGTTGCTTCTGAGGCATATCGTGCCACAGTCCTTATGATATAGTGTCTCATTTTCATCTTTTTATCTAAATTTATGCAGGAAAATTGATGGTGACTGAAACAGGTTATTCCACGCGTGCTTTTGATCACTTACTGTGAGATTAGCTCTATCCAGACAATTTACAAATTATGTATACCAATGGAGATCTTTAAGCAGAAGACACTTTTTGTTTTAATGAAAGAGGAATGTTAGTCATGTACTTTGGACAAAAGAAAAAACTTGTACTAAACTCATTGTAATGATCCAATGAATTGTTCCTTATGTTTGGTTGTTAATTTGCTTGCAAAATTTGGAGTTTCATTTCTTTGTTTGTGACATGAGCATGTATAAATCATGGAGTTTTCATTTTGTTTTGTTCTTTTTAATTTTGAAACTGCAGGTCAAAAAAATGTGATATATCTGGATGATTTGCTTTTGCACGGTCAAAATTGAAAATCGTACCATTTGCTATATATACCCGTTCTCATATCTTTACATCTGAAAACCGTCCCCATTGCTAAAAACTGTCCCCATAGCTAACCGTCACCTTTGGTATAAAAATCGTCCCCGAAGATCACAAACAAAACCGTTCCCATAGATAATATAACCGTCCTCTTAGGTCAAACTTGAAACCGTCCCCCTTGGTGTGTAAGCGTCACGATAGCTTAAAATTATAACCATTCCCGTTGCTAAATAACCGTTACCATCTGTAAAAATATGAACCGTCCCCATAGGTGAACCGTCCCCAAATGTTATAAACGGAAACAGTTCAAGAACCGCGCTACTTGGATCATGAACCGTCCCCTTAGGCCAAGCACTACGGCGGCAAAGGTATCGGATGAGTAACCGTTCCCTTAGGCCTATGAGGACGGTTTTATTGTCTAGCGGGACGGTTATAAACCGTCCCCGTAGACCCATTGCTTTTGATTTCATGCATTCAGATGTATATGGTCCTTTAAATGTTAAAGTAAGATTTGGATATTCATATTTTATAACATTCATATATTATGCATTTATATATTGATATATTCATGCGATTGCATCATAAATTAGAATGTTCTTGAATAGTTCAAAGAATATAGGCTGAAGTTAAAGAGGAACTTGATAAAAGTATCAAAGTCATCCGATTTGATCGAGGTGGAAAGTTCCTATTCTTAGGAGTTTAAGAAATTTATAAACATAATGGAATTATTAGTACTTCATACCTCTCAATTCACGACACTTAAAAATTTATTTGAAAGATAGAACTAGAACTTATTTTATATGGTTAGATTTATACTTGAGCATTTACATCTTCCTATTTTCTTATAGGTTAGGCATTGAGAACTATAAATTATTTGTTATGTATAATTCCTACCAAATATTTTTCTTCCACTCCATATTAGATGTGGATATGAAGAAAATTAAGTGTAGGATGCTTAGAGATTTGGCATTGTCACATTTTTGTTTGAGAACAGAATGTGAGCAAATTGGAATCTAAAATAAAAAATAGCCCACTGGTAGGTTATCCTAAAGAAAAATTATGTGTTATATCGATAATCCTAGTATAGTTTTCAGAGAATAATTGTTATTAAAAGTATAGTTCTCTAGGACAATTCACCTAAGAGATAGAGAATTCAAATCGTTACATGGTCCCTTTGACTTGATGATATTATCATTTTCAATTTCATAATTTAGTATGCCTTGATATGATGGTTAAGCTTGTTTAGTAAGTACTACACATCCTGAAACATTGGGTTGCTAAATTCATTTAGAGAAATGATGGATATCTAGATGGGATCCAGTATGCTCATTATGATAAATTAATTTATTATGCATTCTCATGAAGCTACTAAATTCCTGTCTGCAAATGGTTTTGAAAAATATTTTTTCAAAATTTATTTTCTTATAAAAATAAAGTACTTTGATGTTTCAAAATGATTTTTATTAATATTCATAAGCATTGCAAACTTAAGTATGGGCAAATATATGAATTGTCCTGCTCAAAAGAGTTACCTGAAATAAATGACACTGGAGGGGGCTGAATGCAAGATATTATTTAATTAATCACATGTTATAGAAGAGCTGTTATGATTAGTTGGTTGGATAGAGATTTAATTGTTAAATTAAAATTATTAATTTAATTAATAATTGGTTCTCGACATGGGACCTAACTGGTCTCACTAATGTCATTAGAAGAGGTATACATGCAATACAATTTTCTTTCTATCCTAAATTGTTATGGAAAAAGTATTCTATCTTTAATTGTTATGGAAAGAATATTATATCTTTAATTGTTATGGAAAAGAGTTTTGAACAATTAAAAATTGTTAAAATTAAAATCTATAAGGCTAGTCTAATCCTATATATAGGGTTCGTATGTAGCCTTATGAAGCAACAAAAAATCTTATGAAGAGAAGAAGAGAATAACAAAAAGAAATAAAAATTTGAGAACAAATTTCTTAGTATTGCTCCTCTTCGGTGACGAGTGGATTCTAATTGAAGGCTTTTCTCTTGAGGAATCTATTTCGGATTGATCTTGGGATAGAGTATTGAAGAAATTCACAAAGCGTTTCAGATATTCTTCTAAACTTGGATTAATTTTAATTAGTAATCAACACTTAGTTATCTTCAATATTTATGTTTACCTTTGGGGACCAAAGTCATGTTACTACGAATACAATCTGATACGTCCATGAATGTCGTGTTTTAATATTTTGCGTACTTGGTTCCTCCGTTGACAATGGGCTAAACCCGGCTGCCTCATATACATACTGTGAATTCCAGACTAATTTTAAATCCTCGCTATGGCTAATGAGTAAACCAATGTTTAGGATGTAGTCCAGTTTATCAGAATCTTCAATGATCAAAAGGTTTGTGCTTCGCAATTTCATGAAGCTTAAAAGTTTTAGGCTCTCAAAGCTTCATGCGTAAAAATTTATCGTATCTTCACCAGACTCCAGCCTGTTCAACATAATGAACTCTGGGTAAGAGTTTCGCAGGAAACAACAGGAGGAAACAAACCCGAGAGTTCAGCCAAAGTCGAACCTGGCAATAGCCATTAGCTACTAAATGCTTCTCCCAAGATCCGTTTCAGAAATGTAAACGCTACAGAGTCCAATCTGCTGCTGCCCAATTTACGTACCTTTTTAAAGTTGCATGTTTCGGCTTTTCACATCTGGAAACAAATGTTTCGGCTTTTCACATCTGGAAACAAATTCATTGCAACATGATATGTTCATACAAGTAGACGTACCCAGGACAGTGTCGCTTGAAGACGAAACTTTGGTAAATAGTTTGAATTGGTTCGGGTATTTATTATGGAAATGAATAGCTGAATGCAGAATTAGTGAGATATAATCATAGTTGAAGTTGACTAGTAGAAGTATACGGATACAAGGGGCCGACCAAAACAAGTTTTGAAGGAACTTATGCAAAGAAGGATAAATAGAGCTAACCGAAGAAATGATAAAATGCACTGCCAATATTTTCCCCTTCTAGATATATCGTAAAATTTGTTCATTCATAGCAAAAATGTTCTCCATTGTAAACATCACTATCAGTCCCATACACTGAATAATTGATGGTAATAAGCAAAAATGTTCATTCATAGCCTTGGCCACGAAAGTGAATAAAACCATAATTTCTTTTCTTAATCTTGCTGAAATTATATTCCACGTATTATAGTTTCATCAACCTATTGAACCCTTCGGATCACAAATCTTCTCTCAAGGTTGCACCATCCTATTTCTCAAATCTCCTCTAATTCATCAACTAATATAATACCGTTAGGCAAACACATGCATATACTATGAAACTTCATCCCAAATATGTCTGACTTCAAAATGCGAAGAGCTAAGCACTTAATGCTCCAATGGTGATAGAAGAAGAAGAAGAGGGCCAAAAAAAAAAAATTCTACTTTCCCAGTAATTGTTCTCATGATAGTGACTACATATATGTCCTTACACGGGATAATATGTTCCCAAAGTTATTGTTGTTTTAAATCCCAAATATAAAACAGCTACAAATAACTAGAAAAAACCAGTAGGTACACGTCTTGTTTTTACAGGTGATGAAACTCATCCAATCATCATAAATATACTTCTTCAAAATAAAAATCTCGGTATTATTAGTTAATTTTATTAGCTTTTCCATGCATCCAAACACATCAAGCAACCCAAGCCTAAAAACATCAAGAAAATTTTGCAAAAGAAGAGAGAAACACCTGGAAAAGATAAATAATGATCATAAGGACCTATTATCAAAGTAAACAGATTTGCGAGCATCCCAAATAATGTGCTAAATAATTTCTAGAAAAATATATTAAAGGTGCATCCCAAGAGGAAAATTCCGCATGGGATACTTAAGGCATTACTAGCACTTATTGTGAAGACAAGAAAAAGTTTTGCCAGATATAGTCATGTTACTCACAAATTCGACTAACTACGAAGAATTAGATAATGAATACCGAAATAACATACTAGAATGAATACAAAGTAATGATAGTTGTAAGCAAGACAACAAGAAAATGTTCAATACAACAGCATATGACCATATATGTAAATATGGAAAAAAAATCCTCAAACTTTAGAATGGATTTAACACACGAGCCCACATTTTTAAAACATATTATTGTTCCCCATACTGTTGACCTCTATGAAGGGATAAGGGTAAAGAGCTAAATTACCATGTGCATTCCCGAAAAGCAGAATTAATGAATGTGGAAGAAAAGCTCTTCTTAACCAGCCATTTTGTTCAACCTGTGAATTGTGCTCTTTGCAAGTCTGTTAGCAGGATCAATCTTTAAAACCGTTCTCAAATCTTCAGCCCCAAGTTTGTATTTCTCGGTGCTCTCGTACAGCAGAGCACGCTGCAGCAGCACCGCAACATTTGAACTATCATCTTCTAATACCTGGAAAAGCCAAATAAAATGTAAGATTATTGTTAAGAGTGTAAATAGAATTAGTGATGATTCTGGCATAGATAGATAAGTTTTAAAATTTTAAATTAGGTCATATCTGGTTGCGGATGAAAAAATTGGTTAAACCCCCAGCCTGCAATATCATGGAACTTTTACTCTTTCATAAACTTTCTTAATGAATGTATCAATACAACATTATATTTTCTACTCTTGAATTTTGGGATGCTCAACAGCACGACCACGAAGGTTCCAAAGCATTCATCTCCAAAATAGTATATTCTACGTTTCCTCATTCCGCATTTAAAAAGCAATTCAGACTTGAGGTTCAATCATAAAGTCCAGTTAGATGTATTTTGAAATATTGAAATTCTACTCAAGCTAGAAGGACCCATCCCAAATTTAAGGATTTTAAGACTATCACTATTCCATATAGGCACATGTACTAGAAAATAACAAACATGCAGAAGAACAAGAGTTGAAGATTGTCAAACCTTTGAGCAATCTGCAACTGCCTTTTTATACTCGCCGACCTCCTTATAGCAAGAAGCTCTGCAAATCAAAACCTCATGGGCGTCAGCACTATCTCCACTCCTCTCAATGAGAACAACAGCCCAAGATAGCCACTTGATAGCATCAGCAAACTGTCCTTGTTTATAATTATCCGTTCCTTTAGTTTTCGCCATTGAAGACGTGACTCCTGCCGGAGGAGGAGGAAGCCCTTCGAGCTCGGTAGTCGTCTCACTGTGATCTTGCCCTCCAAACTCTGCACCCACATCCCAATCATTCATCTCAGCAAACTGCGGGGTTCCAGAAACCCCTGAAGGGTTCCCTGTCGTCGTCGAAGAGAACAGCGAATCCAATGGATCAGAGGCTTGTTGATTGGTCTGATTGGTTTGTGGCTGTGATGGGATGCCGAAATTGTTGAAATCTTCGGTTTGCGCAGGTTTTTGAGCTGGGATTCCGAAATCAGCACCTTTTGCATTCTGGAAATCTCCGAAAGATGAATCAATGCCTGAATTCTTCGCATTTGACGATTTAATTGGAGAATTTCCAGAATTCTTCAATCCGAAGTCCATCAACGAACCAAATGGATCTTGCTTAGGGTTTGATCCTGCACCCGACATCGATTTCATTGGCTGCCCGCCAACTGGCTTGCTAGATTGATTCAAAGGCGAAAAATCCCCAAAATTCGCAAAATTATCGACAGACCCCTGGCTGTTCTTCATCGAATTCACGCTACTGCTCCCATTATTATTCGATTTCGGCAGAGAATCCTTCAAACTACCCATCGAGTACAAGTTCTTCGCCGGCGCCGCCGCCTTCAACGGCACGTTACTACTCCCTTTCCCTTGATTGAGCGCAGATCCAACGAGATCGCCGAAGAGATCAGGGTTCGATTTCGCGATCCCGATCGATGACGTGGCAGAGGCGGAGGAGCTAGGGTTAGCCGAGCTCCAGCTCTTGCCGAATATGCGCCGGACCATGAGGCGGCCCCGCGAGGTTGCAGCGGCGGGGTGAGGTTGGTGGGTCACGAGGTGTTGTTGGGCTGCGGGCCACGCGGGGGTGTGAGGTTTGGGTGCGGTTGCGCGGTTGGTGGTTTTTGCGTCTTGAGGGGTTTGTTGGAGTTGCGGGTCAAGGATCCAAGCCCGAAATCGAATTGGTAGGAGCTGAAGGAGGAGGGATTTGGAGTTTTTTGGTTGCCGGTGAAGGAACTCATGGTCACCGCCGGTGACGGGATCCGCGATCGAGAGAGGGATTTGGAGAGAGAGAGAGAGAGGAGGCGATTATTGAGGAGACGGAAGACGCAGTTGGACTTTAAGAGAGTTATTTAAGGAGGATTTCTCAGTACATGGTAGGGGTAATTTTTTCCTTCTTCTTTTCTTTTCTTTTCCTTTCCTTCCTTTTTCTTTCTTTTGGTAATTTCTCGTAAGTTGTCTTGTTGGATCTATGGATTGGATAGAAATACGGATATGTTTCTAATTTTTAATTAATTGGATAAAAACAAGGACATGGGTGTAGGTAAAATATCCAGAATATCTACTGAATTGGTATCGACCGTAAAACTATTTTGACCTTAAATTAGTGAGTCTCGACCTATTTTTATGATTTAGATATCTAAATTTAAATTTGTTGGCGTATTGAACATATTAATGAGTTTTTTTGTTTGTTTTTAAAGGAAACTCTTGTCATATATAATGTATATACTTTTCTAAAAATTAAAAAAGCACCGTGGAAGATCATATCATACTCCCTTCACGAGTTCGAAAAAATATTTCTGTAGACAAAAATACCCTTATAAAGTTTGAACTATCCTATCACTAATCAATTCTAATTTTTAAATTGTATTTAATGATTTATTCTAATCCTAATCAAATAACTTCAAACTTTGAACTATCCTAATCCTAATAAAATTCTAACTTAATCAAATTCTAATAATTTTTAAATTAAGTTTAAACTAATATATCTATCATTAATACAACTAATATATCTATCCTTAATACATTATATTATATAATAATGATATTATACTTTTTTAAGTTTAAAATATTATACACTATCTAAAAGTTTAAACTAATTTATCTACTTTGCATGTGTAAAATCATATTATGATTAATTTATTAACAATAATATAATAAGTTTATACTACAGAAAGATATCATATTGCACGTACTATGATTGTATCTATCTTTTAATACATGCATTAACAAAGATAACCGAATTTTTATTATAACCAAATTCTTATTATAGTAATAGGACTCTTCGGGTATAAATAAAGCATCAAATCCATTTTCTTCTCTCACCAAATATTTCTTAGACTTTGAAGCAATTATCAACTGTTCTCTCTCAAAGGTTCGGTCTTGGTGGCTCTCTTTTTTATTTAATAATGATGCCTTTTTATCTTTGTTATTTTCTTCTTATTAGAATTAGATTATATTGTTTAAAGATTATGAACTAGATTAGATATTGTTCTTCTTATTTTAGTCAATTAATCATGGTATCTAATTACAATAATTTTCACAACACTTCTATCTATTTTCTTCTTATTAAATTAGATTAGATTAGAGTAATTAATTATAATTATTTACAAAAGTCAGCCTGATAGTGGGGGAAATAAAACTATAATTTTTTTTTAAAACTTTCATGCATCTTGTGATTTGTATATGTGATAGTATAAGTTTTATTTAATAGCTCTCGAAAGGAAATGTTGGTCCTCTATTTTTCTTATTCATTATCTTAATCTTCCATTATTTGAATCTTTTATCCACTAAACTAATCAACTTCAGTTTCGTATCACCAGTAGTTATCCCCATGGAAAAATAACATGCTGTTAGCACTGTTTCATTAGATAATGACTTCGATTACTTCCGATGCAAAGTTTTCTAAATTTAATAAACATGGAATTTGTATGTAAGATTAATATAGACCAATATGTCTCTTGTCTTTCATTCCGTAAAAATACAGAAGAAAATCACAAACACATAAATATGAAAATTTTAGTTTTGGAGTCTACAAGAATATGTCTGATTCTCTTAAGAGTTTTGATACTTGCACAAGAATTCAAAAATATATGATATCAGCAAATTGAAATTGGTGTATGCACAAAAAATTGTAAAACCTAAGAAAGCACAATCATGAGACTACATACAGAAAGCGGTATATACTTTTCAAAACTCAAGAAATAATATCACATGAGACTACATACAGAAAGCGGTATATACTTTTCAAAACTCAAGAAATAATATCAACTGAAGAAACAGAATCACTAAAACTTTCAAAAGGTAACATGTGAAAGTATTCTGATGATACAATGAAATCTAACATTTGGTTAATTAGACTAACATAACTTTTATCTGTACGTCATGCACTCCTTCGTACTGTTTTGCTAACATACATTCTACACATTTTATTTTCATTACATTAATTTGGAATCTTTTAATACTAGGTCTTCTCTCATTAATTAGTACAATGTCATTAACTGACAACATATATCGTGACATCCTACCTTGAGAATACATAATAAGTTCATCCATTACTTATGCAAAGAGATATAAAATTGTCAGAGAATTTAAAAATATGGTGATTACCACTATTTTAGAGTTTGATTTAGAATTGGCTTTAGATATTGTACTAGAGCCTCCAAGCATAGTTCTAAAGACAAATATTGTCGTTTGGGTTATGAAAGTTTTTATCTGTAATAGAAGAAAAAGGAGAAAATATTGCATTTTTTTGTTATTTTCATAATATCAGCGTTTATAATTTAGCTTGATTTTTTTGTGATTTTCATTATCTATTCGGTAAATTTCATTAAAACCCCAATAACTTTCAGAATGCCTTTTTATGTTGTTTTTCTGTTTACATATAACTAATTAAAATATAATATATAGCTTAGTATTAATTAATTATATTTCTAAACATTTATCTCTGGTGTTAATAATATTTATAGGGCAACAAAATACATGGAGTTATGTACGGAGAGACTATCAAAAAATTTATAGATATGCTTCGAAAGAATCAAATTATTTTCATTTCAAATGAAGAAGTGAAAGGAATAAACCCAGTTTTTCTAAGTATCCACAAGTCACTTGAATTAGTATTAATAAAAGACGCATCTATCAAAGAAGCACCAATAGGTTTCCACTTGGAGAACATATTGAACAACTTTGTCCCATTTGAAGAAGTATTTTCCATGAAAGATGCAACAAAAATTAGTAAGTACTTATAAATTTTTTACTTTAATCTTCAATACAAAATGAGACGTTAATTTATAGAATCATAAATTTTTTATAAAATTACTTGCAGATATTCTTACAATAACAACTAACGTGAAGCCGGTGATCAACTATATTATAAAACATAACAAACCAGACAATAGGAGGAAAATCATGCTAATGGATAAAAGGTATATTCATGATACTTATTTCCAATATCATAAGAAAAAAATAAGATTAACATACTTTCTTTTTTCATATATAGTAAAATGACTATGCACGCAACTTTATTTGGGGATTTGGCTACAAATGAAGGATCAATTCTTGAAGCCGAAATCAAAGATAAGCATGTAATAGCATTATCAGATTTTAAAATCTCTATATATAAAGGTACATAATTTATTACTGAAATTTTTATTAAAGACAGCTAAACATAAAATTCATCCAATAATTATCTTAATTTTGCAGGGGAGACAAACATATCGTCGCAAATTATATCAACAATATGTATCAACCCAAAAATACAACTAGCTAACGAATTAAGGAAATGGTAAGTAGAACAAGTATACTTTCATATAATGCAATAATAAAATAGTATTATATTTTAATCTAATATACAGGTTTCATTTGGAAGAAGCCGCAAAAACAAAAGGATCTCCATCAACGCTTTTATAAATGCAAAAGAAATTCAAATTAGTGATATTATGCATACATCACAGAATTCGATACATGTACAATATTAGAAACCTATTTTTATTAACACATTTAAATCTAACTAAAATTTATCAATATACAGACTAGGGCTGAGCACGGTTCGGTCCAAACCGAAAAAACCGACCGAACCGACCGAAATTTAACAGTTCGGTTCGGTTTTAGTTATAAGTCGGTTCGGGTCGGGTTGAAAAATTTTCAACCCGAACCGCCCGAACCGACCGCTTAACAGTTAACCCCACATTTTTTGACCCATAACTACATGCCCGACCCGTTCAGATAAAATCCCTCGAATGAAAATGATGAAACCTAAACCCTAACTCCATTCTCCAAATCTCCTCTCCATGCCTGCTGCCTGCAACCGCCACTCGCGTTCTTCCTTAAAATAGCAAACAACTCATCAACGAGGACCTCGTCTCTTCTCCCTCCGTCGCTGCCGCCACCTCGAACCCTAGCTTCTCCTTCAGAGACCTCCGATCCCTCGTCAACGAGGACGCCGCCGCCGACGAATCTGAGGGTTCTTTAGTTCACTGTCTAGGTATTGTAGTTAGTTAAATTTCTCGATCGATTCCCGTGGAATTAAATTGTTCATGGCTCTCTGTAGTTCTTTAGTTCCTTGTTTGGGACACAGCTATATGATGCAATTTTTTTAAGAATTTTCCGTGTTAGGATGGGGCTTTAGTCTGAAGATTGCTTGGATTCCGTGCTTGATTTGTTAATTGTAAAGAGTAATCTGTTGTGAATCTAAGAGAGTAGATAAAATGTTAATTAATTATTTTTTTATATTTATATTTTGGTTCATCATGTTACGATTGTTTAAGAATCAATTTTTGGCAAATAAATGATGGGTGCCTCCTTCATAGACCTCCGTCGCCGCCGCCGGCTGAGCAGAAGGCGATCGTCGTCTACTACACGAGCCTCCGCGTCGTCCGCAAGACCTTCGAGGACTGCAGAGCCGTCCAATCCATCCTTCGAGGGTTCCACATCATCCGCAATACCTTCAAGGACTGCAGTTCCTCTTTCGCAGCTCAGTCATGAATCCAAGTCTCCATTCTCTTTTGAAGTCGGCGTCTGTCGAGGGATCGAATTTCGGTAAGCTTTCAATTGAACCGACAATCACAGCTTTGGGTAAGCTTTTATTAATTTTTTATTTGTTTTTCTTTCAGATTTGGGTAGGCTATCAATTGAATCGACAATCATAGATTTGTTAGAGCTTTCATGAAAGAACACATGTAAGATTGTTATGGTTTCTGCTTTAATTTCTTGTAATTGTCATGATCTTTGCATCAACAACATCTGAAATACAGACTTTATTGAAAGTTTGATGAAGTTAGAACCGAACAAACCGAACCGAACCGCACCGAACCGATTTGCAACGGTTCGGTTCGGTTTTGAATTGTAGGCGGCAGTGTTGTCAATGCGCGTGGCGCAATGCGGG